GCTCAAGCTCCTGACGCATAGGTCACGTTAATTTTAGTCGCCGAGCTGGCGACTTGCGTTCTAATTTAGTGACTAGCTCCAAAATTCTAGTCGCCATGGCGACTAAAATGGTTGCAACTTGGAGGGTTGAAAGTACTCAATCATTAAAATCTGTTTGAAGATGATTTCTTCTTTGCCATCTGTACAGGGAATTTGAATGATTTTAACACCTACCGTGAGATGATGAATTCAGTCATATTAGTATCAGGCTGAAAAGCCGTAGATAAGAAAGCTTCGTATGTACTAAGCTGAACTATAATTGGTTATTCCTGTTCAAAGTGTATTTTATTAGAATCAAAAGTCCTTTATTTTAGGCTGATCACATTGTATGAATGACCTGTCTGTGCTGAAATTGAGCTTTTTATCTGTGTTTATATTTTGTTTTGTGGTTGGAATTACAGGCCATTCTATTGAATTCTAAAATCTAAGACCCCCACCTAAGTTCTGGGAGATGCAAGACGGATACAGGAGAAGGAAATCCTCGTCATTAATCGAGCCTAGTTGGTATGGAAATAGAGTAAAGTCTCTGGTTTCCTTGAACAAAGTCACTTTTGTAAAGACACAGAGAGGCTGCACATGCTGTTGCCGTACAACAAAATCTTAATCATTTGAGTTTGGCAGGTAAAACTGCAGTGTCTGCCTAGTCCCTCACTGCCAAAGTAACCTTGGTAGTACCTCGCTGTAGTGTATCTTGAAGACCCTGCTGTTATCCCACTTCCCTTGCACTTACATTTATGGTTTTCAACAGGGTGTCCAGTAGCATGATTGTTCAGAAAAATAGGAAAATAGGAAACTCGCAATGGAAAAAATACTTTCTTTCAAAAAATAGGAATAAAATAGGAGAATAAATACTACTTTGATGGACAAAAATAGCCTCCCTTCACCCCTTCAGCTATACCAATTTACAGCTTCAGTCCATCAACAGTGATACAAATGTACATGTGACAATGCAAGCATTTTGATTTAAAAGCTATTCTTCTTCTTAGCTCTCATTTGTGATAACAACATCAGTTTGTTTAACATTAGGTTATAAATAAAAAAAGAAGTTGAAGAGCAATCAGTAACAATTGCCAAACTGATGTTTGAATATTTTCTTACATGTCCATTGTAACACATGTTGATCAATCAACCAAGCAAAATAGGAAAAATAGGAGGTTTCATTTAAAAAATAGGAGAAAATAGGAATCTGCTCAAACAATAGGGAAAAAAATGGAATTGGACACCCTGTTCAGCCATTTACTACTGGCTATTTGGAATCTGGTGATTTCAATCCACTATTTTCAACTGATATTTAGTTCCTTTGGCCTAAACTAATCCAACTTATTTCAAACTCCATCCAATCAATATCTTTTCTTATAACTGGCTGCCTGGAAGTTTTAACTCTTAGAGTATTTCAGGCAGCCAGCACCCCTATCATTTTTTTGTTGCTGCCACATTCAATTCTTTTGTTATTTTTTCCATTTGTACGTGCATTCTTTCCGTTATCATTGCATTCTTATCGTTTATCTCACTTTCACATCATCAATATTCTGTTAGGTTTTTTCCCATATTTTTGTTTTTGTTTCAGTCTCTTTCTGTATGCAGTTTTCCAGTATATTTGTGCTTTTCCATCACAACGTTACAATCATCTAGTTTCAATTTACTGTCTCAATTTGTTGCTTTCCTTTATCATGTTCCTAGCTGTCATAGTCATACAATGTTTGTAAATTTTGTTTAACTTTGCCTCATTATTTCTATTCCTTTTACTGTATTTGTTCATAACTCGTAATTTATTTGTTTGTAGCAACCGCTCATCTTTCATCACTTTCAATGTTTTTCACTGCACTCTATCATTTAAATTGTACATTTTGTGGCTTTGATTAAAGCACATGTAGCATGTTGAATGCTTGACTGCAATATTTTTGTTTTTACTCTATAAAATTGTAATTTCTAACACTGGGGTGAAATAAAAGTTTTTGTTGTTGCTGTTGTTTGTTGAAAGAGTTGAAAGATAAAGAGACCAAAACAGATCACAGCTTGAATATTCAATTTGGCCTTTTCTAAGATGTCTGATGTCTACATCATTTGGAAGGGGAGTCAGCCATGCCTCCAGTATCACATATTTGGTATCAAGAAACTGCAGAGGCATCCATTAAGTGATCTCCTGAATATTACCATCAGCACGTGCCAGGGAATAGAGAACTGCTGATTTTTAGAGATGTGGAAAATAATTAATATTAATGATGGGGCTGCTAAACCTAACAAAAGCAAGCAATACAAAATGTAAATCCAAGAATTGTGTTCACTGAAGTGATACAATAACAAAGTGTCAAAATTTTGTAGAAATGTAAATATATCTTACTTACTTAACATACTGAGAAAGTCCACTTCAATGTCGATGGAATTTATTTATTCATAGATTTATAATTAGAATGAACTTGTATTCAAAATGTAGTATAATATTTTGATAAATATTTTTCAAATGCAGTAAAATGAAAGATGATCGCAAAGCACTAGTTTAATAGCTACGGATTCCAGCTGAATCCTAGCAAGCCTTATTATTTACCTCTAATGTATTTCCTTTTTGAAAAACCGAATCTTAGACAAAGTTTGGAGTTCTTTAAATACTGTTAACAAAATGCAACACACCAGTGCCTACAATAATTGCTGACACATTTTTGGTGCACTAGTATTGTGCCTGCCCCCCTCCCTCTTGTCAATGTTGTGTAGAAAATAAAAAGCACAGAACACAGAGTTCAAGTACATTGCACCATCCAAGATTGCATAGGGGAAAGGGGTTGGGTGTTCCAACAACTTTTGACAATGATTGATTAAAAATGTTCAATCTATCAGAGTCCACTGACAAACCTTTACTGTGGTACAGGTTGAGACAACTAGGTAATTAGAGGTTATGTTTTTTACTTCCAGCACCTTGACTATATCAAATAAAGCCAGGCAATTTTATAACAAACCTCCTCTGAAAACTGAGTCATGTACTGCTGTAATGTGCGTTGATCACCAACTGATTCGCAGAGTTCAATTAAAATTCCAAAGTCATGGTACTTCTCAGCAAGAGATGCTGCATGTGATCGTTGACCTAGTTGGACTGAAAATGAACAACTTCATTAACATGTACTCAGTGTTTAGATCCATATACTAGCCTCTATTTTCTCCTGCTGCTTTTGTGTTACCAAAAACAATTCCTATAATCAAGGGATATGTTTGAGCCAAGCTGTAACAGCATAGGTAGAATGAAGTTACATTCACATGGTTATTGAATTTTGTCCTTGATTTCCATACTTTGAGTAATCAGACTGTTCATATCAGTTTAAACAGCCTTTTTCACCGCTACCATTTCTTATTTGCCTTACATTAACATATGATAGAGAAGATAGATAACAGATATTTTGGAAGTAAATTTTGATTCACTAGATTTTTATCTGTTTACATAATTTTAGGTTACAATAGATAGATTTCATACTTCATATTTTCTATTTATCTGTGATAACTAATTGTTATTTACAGTTTCCTCAATGAGCACTGTTAAGATAAGTATATTGACAAGTTAATGAAAATTAAATTTATTAGTACTATTACCATTACTAGCGTTATTATTATGCTGATGTGCGACATTGTTAACTTGTATAAATGCTAACTGTGAAAAGGACTACTGATAATCTTTTGTGCTACAAGTATGGTGCAAGTCTCTCAAACTTTCATGAGTGTTTCTATAACTTGATATAAACATGGAGAGCATGTTTGTTATTTCTTTTAGAAAATACTGCGATGAAAAAAAGAAAAACAACTTGTTTACTTTGATCATCAAAATGTAAATTCTCTTTGCTCATACAATCATTACATCAACAGCTCGTGCTAGTTCTGTGTTTCTATTGAGTTTTAGTATGACTCTACTAGCGTTCTATCACGAATGCCGTTCTCTGATTGGCTACAGTACCCACTATTTCTTCTGTGATAAATAGTGAGTAGAGTAGCAGTGTGCCCTTGTTAACAAAATGACGGCTGCTTCTTGGCGTTTTCAATTAGATTATTCACTCTCGATTTCTATGCACGATAGTTGACTTGGGCTGTGCCCTCGTCGACTATAACACGATAGAAATCTTGAGCTCATAATCTAATTGTTTAAGAAAAACAAAACTTTAAACCAATTGGTGCATGTATTTTCTTTGGGCTATTTTCTAACTAAATATGAAATTGCCCACAAATAACAGAACTTCAACAGACCAAAACTGCTAGAACTGTAAATACTACCCTTGCTTTGTAAATTTTATGAATAAGATGCAGCAGATTGTGCCAGCAATCCGTCCCTTACCAGTTTTACAATATTATTTCCATAGTTAGTACATAATGTAAGAGAAAAATATTATTTTTCAAAATAATCATCGTAATTAGTACCTTTACTACTGAGAATACAGCTCAATGCAACCATGCAAACATTACCTAATGGTAAAATAACGGTGTGCCTATCTTGCTCATACTGCTTGCTAACTTCTTCGTAATGACTCTTCATACCAGGACAGGTCCTACAATAAAAATAGCATATATGTACAATCTTGGACAAAACTGTTGAAACACTTACATAACTCAGACATGCTGGAAGTTAAAATGCCCTTTCTTTTCCCACCACTTCCCTGTTTTATCTAAACCTGAGTTCTTGTGTATTGCCAACCTTCTGAGACAACACTGCATGAGAAAAGTGAGGTGCAATGGGTCAAAATGTAACACAAAATCGGTGGAGACATTTTTCATAAGAACATCCAAGCCCTTCAATAGTTGCTAAAAGACTTTAATTTCAGCCAGTTTAAAAATACACAAACAAAAACTTCATTCAATACAGTGACCGCATGGCAAGACAGGGTCACCTTTTTAATGTGCATGCTTGCTTAAAAACCAATGAAAATACACAGCAGGTCTTGAAATGAAAATGGAGACTGTTTAGCAAACACACTTATCGATGAGTAAATCGACAGGTCTTTTACAAAATAAATAAACTCTACCTAGAATGCAAAACCTATAATTATATCAGAAAGGTTCCACTACGACTCAAGACACAAATGTAGACTGTAGCATATAACCTTATCATGGAGTAAACAGACAAGCTCTGCAACACGAATACAGCCCATAAACAGTTCTTACTATCACAAAAGTGCATAAACTTTTTCAGTAGTGGAGGACAATTACCTTATTGTCTGGAGCTGGTGGACATAACCATCTAACAAAATATCTGCTAAATCAACCATCTGTTGGACAAGCAGGGGTAAAGTCTGAAAGAAATGCCAAAAAATGTATATGCACTCTGGTACTATAAAACAAACTCAATTGCCTGAAATCACAGCTAGCAATACCTTGGGTGACCTTTAACTGAGTAATAGGTATGTGCACACAAGATAAATACAAGATCAGTGGTTTGTGAGAAAACTTTCCTCCAGTCAGAGTTGCCTAATATGTTTTCTGTTTGGCCATCATTATAACTTCAGTTGTCTTATATTTTGCTACTTGAAGCACAATAGAAAATGGAGACTTCAAGAGATTTTAACTACTTAATAACCGAGAGTGAGGTTGTTACGGGAAAATCTCAAACTGAGGCCTTGCCGTATTGACCGGGCGATAGCGAGGTCAACACGGTAGGCTGAGGTTTGAGATTTTCCCATAATGACCGACCGGGCGAGGTTATTATATGGCTCATGGATTAAAACAGCAAAAAATACTTGAGCGGAAGTCGTCAATTTACATCAGGCAAAGTACGCGTTTACCGATTCATTCATAGTCTCAAACCCAGGGCAAAACTACACAGTCAGTGAACTACACCACTTTATTATATAGCTTTGGCTTGTGGCTGATACGTGCATTCTGATTGGCTAAGAGGGAGATCTAAGCAGTCATTATGCAGCCGTAACGCCCATGGGTTGTTACGGATTATGCAAATTAGGAAGAGCCCAGCTCTGAAAATTCAAGTGCATTGAAACGATGAAAGCCAATTAAAAACAGTGAGAGAAAGTAACTTAGCTACTTGGAATTATACTTACTTTCTCTTACTGTTTTTAATCGGCTTTCATCGTTTCAATGTGTTTGAATTTTCAGAGCCGCACTCTTCCTAATTTGCATAATCCATAATTGGCACGGGGCATTACAGCTGCATAATGACCGCTGAAATCGCACTCTTAGCCAATCAGAGTGTACGTTATATCGGCCACAAGCCAAAGCCACATAATAAAAATATTTAATCGATGATGAGGTCTACCCACACAGTGTAAATTTGTTTTCAGAAATTAAAGACCTACCTGAGAAACTTACTGGGGGAGTGAGATTAACTGCACTTGGATTGTAATTGTTAGCCAATCATATCATTCATTCAAAGCAATGATAATGTTAAGAACCTAAATTGCCTAATTACAAGTGAACTTTATTTTTCATTTAAGAGTCACTGCTCTCATGCATAGTGGGGAGTGCATTGACCTAATTGTTAATACTCTTGAATGTGATCCTATGCATTGTAAAACTGACTGGCTATCTTGACCGCCCCACTGTTTTGGAACACCCAAGAGGAAGTTTGGAAAAAAAAAAGGAGTGAAACCAAGCTTCGAGAAATTAACTTTGGTGGTTTTGACTTTGTCAAAGCTTTTAATCAGGGGCATGCCCTCTGTGCAGTCCATGTCCCACGTCTCTAGGTTCAAGTTTCGTCTGGATCATACCTTGTTGAAGCTCATTTCAAAGGTCATAATTTACAGTCTCTCATAGTTTGACTTACATTGTACCCAGGTTTTGTTTTCCTTTCTTCATGTATGTTTGCAATAAAGTTTGTTTTTCCCCAAAGTTTTTGTTGTATCCATTTGTATTGACTAATTCATTAGTTAACTCATTGAAAGAACCCTTGAAGAGCTCTGACTGTAGGTCACTAACCTGTTGATCAGCATTAACTGTTAGTCCCCTCTCAGCTGTTAATCCCACCTGTAGACAGAACACAAACATAGGCATGCGAGGCGTGCAAGAGTTATTTTTTTGTGAATTAGAAGCCCCTGGAAGTAGCAACACTCAGTGGACTCTTAACAGTCATGATAATGTTAATCCAACAAGTTTGTTTGGTTACGATGTACAGCAAAAAAAAAAAAGAATTTGTTTCACCACAGGAAATCTGATATCAAGGCTAGCCTACTTTTAACAATATTTGATTTTAACGGTCGATCAGTGGCTTTTCTTTATCAGAACTACATGGAACTGTTCCCAGCAAGACAGTTAAACTATATGCAGTCTGTAATAGTAGCTAACGGTAAACGGCAGATTGGTGCTGATTCTGGATAATTTTTCTGACTCATTTCAAAACAAGAACCAATTTAATTATAACATCATTGCATAATAGCATGCTCTTATTCTGTTGCCAACAATCATCATAGTTTTTTTCAGTTTTGACATTCCACAAAACCACTTCAAATTAACATCAATTTCAAAACCCATTTTAGCGAGAAGACATTAGTGAAGGTAAACAGCATTACCTAACTTGAGACTTGAAACAACCAGACACAAAAAACGGTATAAATTTTAGAAGATGCCATGAAATCTGCAGAGTTTGGCAAGTTTCCTTGTCACATTACCCTTCCCAATGCCTGAGAGGTGACAAAAAATCAGTTACAGAAAAAGGTTTTGTCACTTTATGAGAAACATAAGTTACCTCTCTGAACCGCACAAGGAATCTGTTTCAAAATGAAAGAACCACTGTGTCACCTCAAAGTCTGATCTAATTAATTGGCGGTTTAACTTGTCGTCATGAAGTCCTCAGGAATATCTGAAGAGTTTCCATACCACAAACCTTTAAGAAAATCTCTAATAAAAATTCTGCGAAAAATGCTGTTTCCATCGCAGACCGCCTGGACTCAATTTCATGAATATAAAAATGGTGGATGCTGTTGACACACATTCCCTTGTCCTTTGTTTGTTTTCCAAGGGATTCCTTACTGTTATTACTGCCGATAGAGCCTGATTTGAGGTTAAATGAATAACTGGTAATACAAATAAACAACTTTTTTGACGTTGAAGTTGATGAATGTCTAAACTGAACATTGAGCCACACTTGCAATACATCATCATCATTGTCCTTCTAACACCTCAGTGGGGTGTGCGAGGCTGCCTGTTATTGACATCATGGTTTCCATAATCATGAATTTTTATGGGAGTGAGTGATTAGTCTGCAGCCCAACCTCATAACCCAGAGGATGGTGAGACTGCTTATAGTCTGGAATCTCTCCATCCACCTTTCTGGCAAGGGTGACCCTACCAGGAGAAATAAATCTCCCGCCAGCATAGCTCTCAGGTTCATTTGTGACTCACAAGCCTCTCCACCATGACAAGGTAGCAGTCACAAATGTAGACTGCTCGCAATTGAGTGCGACTAATTCGCTTGTGCTGCTCTCCTTAGTCTGATAATGTAGCTTATCAACAAAAAGAAAGAACTCTTAGGACAGAGCCTGTCTCAGGATGAAAGCAGAGATTGATAAAGAAAGGTTGTGTTATGCGATCTCGGGCACAGTGGCATTGAGAATACGCAAAGGATTATCAAGTAGTGCAAAAACCCTGGCTCAGACTATAAACAATACATATTTCAATAACAATACATATTTCAATAACAATACATATACACAATACAGATTTCTTCACAAAAAATGCCACGTTAAAATTTCGATCGCTTGTGAAGTTGATCAGCTCGAGTTGTAGCAAAGAGAACTGTCAATCGCTAGTCACACACGATTCACCTTTACAAGCGGCAGTTTGACTGGTTGTTTATAGTAATCCCAATCTGATTGGTGTGACATACATACATCTCTCACACACTCATCCCTTCATAACATAACCCAGACCCATTGACTAAGAGGTATTTTTTTACATAAAAATAACTAAAAGATGTGAACAATATCTTGCACTAGGCAAGCACAGGAGGATCTTATCCCATTTGAAATATTAAGATTCATGGGCTGGGTTGTCATACATGTAGCTGCTTATGACCAGCTTTTATAATTATGATGGTTATAATTTGTAAACAGATTTACAGGAAAGAACGGAAAGCAACTTCAGATCTCATGTTACACAACTAGACCCACCTGTTTTAAAAGTAACGACCGTACTCCACTAGGTCCTGTTGTTGCTAAGAAGTTAAAAGTTAAAGGAGGAAAACTTGTATCACAAAAGGGTACACAGTCAGAACAGTGTACATCATTATTCATAATATATTCACAAAATATGCATTTAAAGTACAAAATGAATTATATTGTGGTAGCTATAGTTAAAGAACACAAATATAGCTGTAATTAGCTGATTAACCCCATGGCCCCCCTCCCCCACCCACCCATATCAGTCAACATTCTCAAACAAAACACTGGACACTGATGAGAATGTAGTTTGCTGCTAGTAATTCCAAGGTCAAAGTAGTGTGCTCTAGTGCACATGTCATGCAGAATGGTTGCGTGTTTCTCCATCATATTCAAGGGGGTTACTTGGCACAGAAGTGGACATTCTCTTTAAGCAGAAAGTCTGACCGGACACTTGTTTGAGGAGTAGTGCACTGCTAAGCTTCAAACCCAGTCCACATGTATGACCCCAAACGATGGCTGACAAGGAGACTAGAGCCAAACCATATATTCAAGAACTTACCAGTCCAAGGCATCAGTTCAGTGTTGAACTCTATCGAAATGTCACTTGGTCGATATGCGGTAAAATTTGTCTGCCTGTAATGCCATGCCTCCTGTAGCATTTCCTGTAGAAAGAACACTTGCTTTAAGGTGGCTCTATATAGTATTTCACAAAGCTTTGGATATTAAATATGCATAAGTAATTTCTCCCTTGGCAAATGTTTACAACATAGTACTCGGTAGAAGGTCAATAATAAAAAACCTACAGCCTTAGGCTACGTATGGAAGACACTTTCAGAACCTAAATGTTGTTGCTATGGCAACTACTGATAGNGTAAGTGGAACGCGACTCGCGATAAAAGTCTCGCCGCCATGTTTATTTTTGGTTTTTACTTTTCTTTTAAATACTCGCGCGCTCGCGCCATTCGCACCCATGCCTCGCGCGCCAAAAAAACTATATAGAGCCACCTTAAACTGTGGATCTTGATTGACTGGTTCAAGCCTGATACTTTGTTTAAACTGTAGTGATAAAACATAACAAGAAATACTGGAACAAGATGACCTTATTCCTTTTGTACATGCAGGTATGATCCTACTGCATTCCTTTTGTATGCAGTTTATGATGATAACACATAACATTGGCCTTGCATTTTTAACTGAGCTCCTAGGGCAAGTCTGGTTCATAATCAATTCATTTAAGAAATTCTGTCAGTGATTCACTCCATAATCTACTGTACCTGCATACATAAAATGTATCTGTTGTTATATCCATTTAAAGTAGAAAATGATCAACAGATCAATCACAATGGCCTTTGGGAAATAGAACTGATATAATTCAGAAGTAAGATCTACAATGTGATTGCCTGTTGACTCCTACAACCAGGTACAAAGACGTCTTTCACTTATCTACCTATTACAAGCCTCTTTTATAACCTTTTGAAGGAAAGTTTGAGAAACATACTGCCACAATAACCTAATCATTTATGGGTGTCTGACCAAATTAAGGCTATTCAAGGACACTAGTCAGCATCCACCATATTTGATGCCATCAAAATTATTGATATATTTGCATGGTGATGTTAGTGCTTTAGAGCCAAAGAGCCATAGAGTTCATTATCTAGGAACTGTGATCATACAGCCGTGGAGCCATTAGAGTGGTAGAGCTGTAGCACCATAGAGCCATAGAGTTCATTATCTAGATATATTTGATCGTAAAGCTGTAGAGTTCATTATGTAAAAATGATTGTTAATGAATGAGTTCAGGTGTAGGGCTTAATAAAAATGTCTAAAGCAGACCAAACCCATTGGTAACCATGGAAACATGCCACCATTTAATATGGACACGCAAGAGAAGAAGTACAAAGTGGTCAGTGAGAAAAGCGTAGAGGTGTAATACTCTACATAAACTTCTACACCTACTCAAACTTCAGAAGTAGGCCTGGCCCTTGCCTCTAGGAGGTTCGTGAAAGTCTGCAACCTCATTCTAAGCTTTCTGCCCAAAACTAATTATAGTAATTAATTAACTGAGTAATTAAAACCAGATCAGGCATTTGGGATATAACCTTTCAATTGTGTTATGTTGACTGAGTATTATGGATTAATACTAAATATACACTTACTTAAAAGAAGTTGTTTATTTCTTTGTATCTTTGCTTTAACTTTTGCTGGTGCAAGTCTTTGCTAGTGGGATTTTTCATTGTCTTAGTCATCTTTTTTTATGAGGCAGAATGAAAAGTTGGCGAAAAAAGGACAAACATTTCCTAGAACTCTACATGTCACAGGTAAACTGGCAAGGTGCTAGCTTACCTGCATTATTGTATTTACAGCTACCACTGTTTGAAGATGGGTTAAAGATGGCTTCTGCTTTCTGAGCACTTCTTCTTCATGATCCATGAGACTTTCAAATATATCAGAAATCATAGATACCTACAATGTTTGTAGTAGACATGGTAAAAAGCTCATGACACATTTGACTAGTAAAGTGATCATGTATGTATTGCCTGATTGTTGTAACTTTCAACTCAGAGATATCTTTAGATTACGATGTTTGTACTATCTCTACATGTACTCTGAGTGCATTACAACTTGGGCAATGATTTGGCTAATTCAGGCATATTGGTTTGCCTGTATAAAAACATACCTCCCTGAAGAAAAGATCCTGCTCAGTGAGTCCTCTGACGTGTGACTTCACTTGCCTTTTTTTCATGACAAGTTTAATACTTTCATCTACTACCTCTTGATACCTGTTTAAAAAGTCAAATGTGATATGGTTATCATAGGTTTGTTTTGTCATCAGTCTAATTGCACACATGCATGCAAACCCCATGTGTGCTATGTACACATTTGTTTGAATTAACAAAAAGTACACATCACAAATTGAAAACTGAAAAGCAAAAAAGTAAACTAGTGAGACAATCTCAGATATTGCAGAGAGTAATTGATAGTTCTGGGACTGTAGTCACACAGTTCCTCACCCCTGCTCAGTTCACTATTGGTTTGTATTTACCTTCTTGGTAGTCAGCACGGGCTTTTCCCCTTGCAGAATATGAATGGACAGAAACCTTGATAAGATGTGATCTTAGAAGTGTGTATGTTCCATGTGTGTATTTTCATTCAAGGTCCTAAAATCACTTGCAATGACTTTGTCACAACAGCTTTTAAATTTACTCTGACGTTTAGGTCTATTTTCGTTCATTTTAAATTCAATAATATGTTGAACCAGGGAACGTGATAATTTTACTTTTCACACCAATGTTTGTAACTTGATACTTTTGTTTTCCTCGCAAAGGTGCATAAAAAGAAGCCCTTGTTCTCTCTAAAACACATAGAAGATGTGCTTGTTTTTTTTCTCTGCTGGAGATAAATGGAAGAAAGTTAAATATCTGATGAGGAAATGGAAGAGGAATGATAACTAATTTAACTATCAAATAGTCATGGAATGCCACTCTCTTATTCTGTTGTCATCTTTGTTGTTAGCAATAAAGCAATTCAAAATTAATACACAATGACATCGATTAACACCGCTGAGAGGTATTTCAACTGAAAATATTGAAGGTGAACAGTACCACTTGGCTGAGATTACATCCTTCATTGGTGAAGTCTCTCTGATTAAATTAATTTGCCCTTTCGTTTACCATGTTTCTATGGAGTTATAGAAACACAATTGGAATTTTGGGAGAAAAAGAAATGCTGTGGGAACACGAGCTGACAGGCAAATGTTTCCAAGGCTTTTGCAGGTTCTCCCAAACTTCCATAAGTGTTTCTATAACTCAATAAAAACATGGAGAACATCTTTTCTATTTCGATTAGAAAGTTCTCTGTCGATAAAAAGAAAACAACTTGTTTATGTTGATTACAAAAATGGAAATTCTCTTTGCTCAGGCCATCATTACCTGAACAGGTTGTGTTAGTAGAAACACGATTTTCAACCAATCAGGGTGCATACATTCTTTAAGCTATTTTCTAAACTCCTACACTGTTTTGCATTCAGGATTGTAAAAGAATTGTCACTGAAACAAATAACTTGGCAAGTTGCATCAAATTGTTGTGTCAACTCCACCTTGTCCATTTCTACAACAAGCTATTTGAAGGTTCAAAAACAGCAACTGTTGTCAGGACTCAGTGCCATTTAACATCAAACTTTGGTACTCAGAACTCAGTAGAGTCTTCTGGCTCAACACATACTCAGTTTATACATGTAGTTTTTCAGAAATTACCAAGTTGTTTTTAAGATTTCCTTAAAATCTACCCACACTTGAAAATATACCCAGAACCTACAGATTATTAGTGCATATACTAATTGTAAAAGCATCTGTTTTACATCTTATCAAAGATAAACAATCCTTGTTTTGACAGAACTTTTAAATTATTCAGTGTCATAATGACACAAGGCAATGAAATGGGCTAAATTGAAAGTGAAGATGCCATTATAAAGTGAATACAAGGGGAGGAAAATCACTGATATTTACCGGTAACACACACACTGTTAACCATGTACATGATCCACAAATGATAAACATTGCCATCAAAACAAATCCCTTGGGAATAATGAATAAATTGCATCTCCTCCACCTCTGGAACTATGATTTAACTTCACTGTGTGATTGGCTGTGCTAGCTTTATGCAGTGGATAGTAAATTATTGTGAAGAAGAGCTCCTGAAACCATCTGTTGGTAAGCTGTCAGCTGACAGGTTACCGACAAGCTATTGACAGGGTACTGAAAGGTTACCGACAGTTTGCGAAAACAAACAGTGCGTTGTAGAATAGACAGGAATAGAGTACTATACCTGATCAACAAAATGATTTCAAAAACACCAAACCAATTAGCAATACGTCTCGTCACAAACTTACTGGTGGATGGTCGGCATAGAAAATATTGATCATAGAATATTCTTTAAAAACTTAACTAATTTTTGGATCAAATTTGTTACTGTGTAACTAACAGACAAGAACGTCTTAAATTTAAGCTGTATAAGGCAGATTTAATCCGAAGGTGAAAACGAAAACAACCAAATAACCATTTCTTGAACAAATCACTTTATAATGCAATTCGAACCCTGACATAATTTGAGGGGGAATGGTACTTAGTCAACCTTTCCAATATGGTGGCAAAAATGGCATTGCTGTATTCTTGTAAATACTCTGGTCATTTGGTGCAGCGCTGGCACTAGTCCTAAGCACTGATTATAAAAATTCAGAAGAACATACCTTCCTATTCAATTTATTATACATCTTGGGTGCAGTATGGTGAAACAACATCGAAGTAAGTGTTACATACTACCGAAAACTTAATGACACGTTACGGACAGATCACTGACTGTTGGTGACTTGGCCCACTGTTGGTCTGTGTTTTGGCCAAAACCTCTTGGCTAACAGCAGTGTCTGATCTAGAGCGTGCCATTGTGGGATTGGCACAGTTTGATAGAACATGTCCTCCAAATATTTGTCTTGTGGGTCATTTTGGTGCAGCAAACATCTGCAGCTACTGACTTGTAATTTTCCTTTGTTTCCTAAGTTTTTCAAAAATGTTGTGTAATTTAAAATTTCATAGAATTGACAATATAAAACAGCGTGCATTTTATGAATGTTTATGACGTGGACAAATAAAAATGGCTGCCAGATGATGAGGTGAGATTCCTGGGAACAAGTAGAATAATTCTGAAAGAGGGCTCAATTTACAAAAATGCAAGTGCTTATTGTGAACTTCTTACTTTTCACGCTTGATTGATGAAACACGACGTGTCATTTCGGTTGTTTTCTTTCTCGTTCTGTTATATTATTGTCACGTCAAAGCAGAAAAGAATATTATCATTCTTTGGTTGAGAAAACAAAAGAGAAGAACACAGACCGCAAACGGAAACCAGCAGAACCGATGACGTTGACGAAGATAAATTGAGTGATAATGATGAACATGAACCTTTTGTCAAACTGAAAGCCAAAGCAGCAAGGAGAAACTTTCAATAAACCTGGTTGGGAAAATTCAAGTGGTTGTGATACGACAACACAAATAGTAAGTTGTGTTCAATTTGTACTGGGTCTAGCAAAGCAAATCCCTTCACTTCTGGTTGCATTAATTTCAGAACTTCAACCCTGACTCACCACGTAGAAAGTCATTATGCTGACTTGAGTTTTATTTTTAATTTCTCACAAGCAAAAAACAGTGTGTCCCGCCAAAAAACTGGAACACTGTAAGAGTCAGCTGACAGGTTGTTTTGGGAGCTGTTCTTCACAATTACTTAGTGGACATCGGATTCACGAAAAAGCTAACAGAATATTGGAGAGAGGGAGTGAAATTCAATGTCCTACCTACACTTAGAAAATGAAATCACTTCCTGTGTAAAAATGGGATCTCTATGGGAAGACAGGTGTTCCCTGACAAAAGGAGTACATTCAAATACTATTATACCACTAATCAAAACTATAACAAAATTCTTCAACGTGATTGGCTATCAGCAGCCCGATTTGAGCATTAATTGGACAGTGTATGCGCATCATGCTTGTAATTGGACAGTACGCGAGAGAAAACGCGAGCCTGTCGAGGCAGCAGGATATAGAGCCGTGCGTAGTTTGATGGCTATGCAGAAGAAATCTCAGATCTTTCAGCTCGATTTTCGCGTAATCCGGTT